CCCACTGAAGGGAGCCCTCTGGGGCCCCGCAGCCCGCGGTGGGGCTGCCAGGGGCTCTGCAGCGGAGAATACAGGCACTTCACCTTGAACATAAAGAGACGGATCGCGTTTGTCACATACAGGAGTCAGAGAGGGGTTAGTGTTGACTCAAAAAGGGGAAAAGGCGCTCAGGGGAGAGGCGGGGGGGCTGGCGGAGAGGGCGAGGGGCCGTCTCGACACGCTGAGCCTCCGTGAGCGCTGCCCGAGTGCAGGCACACACCGGCCTTGCTGCAGCAGCCATCGAGGCCTGAAAACATAAAACCAGAGAAGAGAAAGAAGAAGGAAAGGTGGGTACGGCCCATGCCGGGGTGGAGATGGGGGATGCTCTGGCTACGGGGCGGGAGAGGGAGGACGGGGTGGGATATGGAGGGAGGGACGGAAATCAGGAGCCAAAGAAAAAGAACAAACTACGAGTCTAAAATGTGGTGCAAGCGCCCTACGCGGCTGTCCGCTAGCATGGCATAATGTCCGGAGCAGCCCAGAGAGGGAGTCACATCAGGTCTACACAGATTTGCCTTCCCATATATACAACCTCTACTGGAGTTAACAGCTGAAATTGAGATTTTTTTTGTGTCGGTTCCTCTGGCCTCGGTTGCCGTTTTTTTTTTAATGCTGGAGCCCGTCCTCCCCGCCTCGCCGGCGCCGGGCGCATGCAGCCCTTGCCTGGCTTGCCTTGGGGATCAAAAGGGTTTGGAGGTCTGCTTGAAGATGAAGCCTCTATGGGCCAGTGTCTTCATGATGTTGGCGATGTTCTTACAGTCATCTGCAGAGAGAGCACAACAGATACTGGGTTAGAGACACAATCCAGGCAGGAGTTGTTCGATCAATCCCGGAATCCCACGCTGGGGCTGTGTCCCCACCAGTCCAGGCACTCTGTCCCAAGGACCTTGCAAGTGATGTGGGGTGATTGCAAAGTCTCCAGCTCACCGGCACTGGCCACCTGCATCCCCATACAACCCATCCTGAGATGGATCCATGTCCAGGACCTGGAGGTCAGAGTCATCCCCGTTCCCACCAGAGCCAGCCCTCGGTGCTGTCCCGTGCCCACCGACCACAGGGTGACAAGTGGCAGGTGGTCAGGACAAGCAAGCCACAGGCACTCCCAGTGTCAGGCCGTGGCAAAGCAGCAAGACAGGAAGGGGGAAGGCTCTGGCTGGTGTTATTTACCTGGGACTAAACTCAGGCACCGTTTGCTAAAATAGAAGCCGGGCTTAAATTGATTCCTAGTGTCTATATTTCATGTTGAAAATTGGCTTGTAAATCCATGTTTTGATCTATGAGGGCCGTCTCCTTAAGAAAAAGCAAGAGTAAATGTGTAATTTCTCCCTTGACAGCACACGGCGCAGAGGCGATCCTTCTTCCCGCTCCCCTCCGTTTCGGGACAGCTCCACTCGTTCCGATTACCACTCTTTCTTCCTCGCCCCACGCCTTGATGTCTCCATTTCATTACCGCCCGCCCATTTATCAAGCTGTTACCGTAAGGGTGACTTTGCCCACTTGCGTGTGGCAGCGGGGCCCGGCTGACACAGGGAGAGGGTGCCCCAGCAAGGGGGGGCACAGGCAAGGCCCCCCTCTCCCCGCCACTGCTGGATGGATGTTGTGGTGGAGGAAAGGCTGCATCATTACTGATGTGTAAATGATAAAGAAGCCTCCACATCCATCTCCCAACTGTAAATCCAGGGAGTGCTTTATAATCAAGCTACAGCAATAATAATGTGAAATTAGGTCTCTCTATCAACGGGAGGAGGCCTTTTAATCACGGCTTAAAGGGTGCAAACGCTGTTTATCATAATTGAACTGTATCCGGGCTAATTGTGGCCATATTTCACTGTCTAGGAGACAGCAGGCTGCCTGCTGACAGTGCCGTGTGCTGGATTGAGGGCCCCCCGCAGCCGGGCAGCTCTGCCCTGCTGCCAGGAGCCTGCCTGCAGGGACAGGGCTGCCTGGCCTCCTGGACACTCCCTGATGGACCAGCAGTGCTGCCCTGCCCTGCTGCACCCAGTGACATACTGGCAAAGCCATCACCTGTCCCCCAGTGTCACTTGGAGGTGCAGGGGCTTTCCCCATGCACAGCTCCCTGAGAGGCTGCCCTGAGCTGCCGGGGACTGTCCTGGCTGATGGTTGGCAGTGGAATAAGTAATGTGCCCATCAGAGCCACGTGCCTCCCAAGTGTCCTCTCAGCACTCCTTTCCCTCGCTGGTGTGCCAGGCAGGGGACAGGAGCTGGGCATGAGGACAGCCCAGTGAAGAAGGGGTGTCCTCAGCCCACTGACTGGCACAGGGGCAGAGATGAGCCTGTCTCTGTGCCTTTGTCCTCTCCGCTGCCCAAGGTGGCACCTATGGCTGCAGAAGGGCCCTGGAGGTGACAGGTGTCCTGCCCGGCCAAGCCACAGCGCCAGCTCCCACCGCTGTCACTTGTTCCTGCACAAGGGAGCCCCTCACTGTCCTTAGGACTCTCTGCTCCATCCATCTCACCCCCCAGACAGCTGAACCCCTTGGAGCCAGCTGGCAGTGGGACCTAACAGGGTAACAGTGGCTTAAAAGCCGGGGAAACTGAGGCAGGGAGAGGGCAACTGTCCCACCCAGCCGGCCCTCGCCTGGTAGCCCCCTAAACATAACAGAAAAGTAAATCCTGGCCTGTGAGCTGTGGGAGGTGTGTGGCAAGTGAGCAGTTTGGATGTGAAAGCACAGGCCCAGACATCCCACTGCCCACCTCCCTGCCTGCAGCACCACCCTGAGTGGGCCACTGGGGCTTTACTATTGCTCCATATTGCTGGAGGGGGAGCTGCACAGAGACCTGGGGAGCCGCCAGATTGGCAGCAAGACCCCACGGCACCTCCTGGGACTTCTGAGCTGGTCCCTGGGGAAACCCTCTGGGACTGCTGGCTGCTTCTTGAACCCCATCAGCTGCCTCCCTGAAGCCCCAGTGTGCTCTGGCACTGGGTGCCAGTGGGACCCTGTGGGGTCAGTGCCAGCCACACGGCTGTGCCAGCAGCACCATCCTCGCCATCCCAAACCATGCCATGGCCCCTGGCAGCGGGTGCGCCAAGCTCCTCATAAGTCATTTAGTGAGACTCCTTCCAAATCAGTGCTAAGGTAAACACGCTTATTATAATTATCCATGTAAAAAAAAATCAACAACAGCAGAACAACTTTCTAATATGCAATTACAGCCATCTATTGATTTTACAATGTAATCCGCTCCGATTGATTTAATAACACAATTATAGGCTGGCTCTCGGGATATTAGAGTGGGAGATTTTCATAAACTCCAAAGCAAAAAACTAAGCGGCTTTTAAAACAACACAGTCAGATGGCTGTTTGGGGAATTATTAGCAATATGAAATCCTCTAAATCTGGCCGTCGTTACCTTGTGAAAGGAATTTCTATTACAAAAATGGCAATTGACAGCCTAAGAGAGCACAAACGGGATTGCTCTGCTGCTTTTCAGTGCTTAATCCATTGCAAAGGTGACCACCGGGTGGGGGATGAGTGGAGTCCGAGGCAGGCGGGAGGGCACAGGCAGCCCTGCCCACCCTGTGGCCACTCTCCCCAGCCCAGCTCTCCCCAGAGACACGTGGCTGTGGCAATGTTGCCCCAGCACCCAGACTGGCACCCACCAGCCCTGTCCCAACGGGGTGACCCTGCCTGGGGCCGCAGAGGCTGGCAGGGTGCACAACACCCTCCTGATCCCCATCCTGGCACACCTGGCACGCCCCAGTCCCAGACACCTCCAGGGGCCACAGGGGTGCCCCCCTGTGTCCCAGGGCTGAGCAGGGGGCTGGGGTGAAGGTGGTCCCACGCTGCCGGCCGGCGCAGCTCTGCGGGTGCTGCAGAGGCTCGCGCGTGCACACGCGTCCCCGCTCTCCTCCCACTCGCTCCCTCAATGTAATCCCGACTTTATGGGCACATTTTTCTTGTCAAGCTGACAGGGTTGCTAAGTGGATTTCTCCCTGATATGCGGACGGATTATCACATTACTCCAATGTCCTACACAAACATATTACTTTATATTCAATAGCCCTAATGAATATAAACTGCTTTTTCTTTTTTTGGGGTGGGGGGTAATCTATAGATTTTTAATGAGGGCACTATTAACTCCCTCCTCTTTAAAACAGACTTAGGTGCAGCCTCTGAGTGGAAAATCAATGGTGTTATTGTAGGAATATTGTATATTGATATTGTAATAATAAGATGCAATTGATTTAGGGGTGTTGTGCGGTGTGTGTGAAAGGGGTCAGCAGGGGGTTATCCTGCCTCCTGCAAATGGAGTGGTGACTCTGCCCTGCCTCCCTGCCCCTCACCTTGCTGTGCCACTTCTGAGCATCGTCCCATGTCCCAGGATAGCTGGGGCCGAGTTTGCCCTGAGGTGCTGGGCAGGGTCCCTGGCTACCTCTGGGATCCTCCTTTGGCCCAGCTGCCAGTGTAGCATGGGGTGACGTGACACTTCAGTCTCTTCCTGTCCTGGCTGGCTTAGCCCACCAGGTTTTAAACCTCTGCAATATCACACTGCTGCGAAACCCATGTCCCGGCCCTCTCCACAGCTTGTCAAGCTCTTGCTGCAGTGACAGACAAGGACAGCGGCACGTGCATGTGCATGGGGCAGTGGGATGCTCTTTTAGTTAGGGCTGAAGTTTGCTGCTGTTCAGCATTGCTGACTGCCCTTGTCCTTGGAGGGGGCAGACATTCCCATCACATTCCTCTGCCAGGACAGACGCAGAAACACCTCCGCCTGTGCTGCCGGGCTGCTTGCCCGGTGAGTGCCCTCCCTCGAGCCACTTCATAGCAGCACTCCTGTGAACCCAGGATGAGCTCAAGGATTCCTTCAGCAAGAGTCTGTGCTGCGGGATTGAACTGCCAGGAGCAGTGATGATCGCTCTGGGGAGAGCATCCTCTCCACACCCACTCCAGGCACTGGGAGGAAGGGCAGGGGCTGCCACCCCCTGCCGGTATTTCTCCCACCTCTCCCACGGGACCAAACCACCCAGACACCTCCACCACGGAGGCTCAGGGGACCGAGCGCTGCCACAGCCGCCGTGCGCTGGGCCGAGACGCTCACGGTGCAAGGAGGGAGCTTTTCCATCCCGGCAGCTGCCCCGGCGGGCCGAGGGTGATCGGGGGACTGCAGGGCCCCCCCAAATGGGCTCATTTGGTGGCAGCCCCACTGCACCTGTGCTGTGGCCGGGAAGACGGATCACCCCCGGCCCAAGCTGAGCAGGTCCATATTTAAACTGTCCCCATGCTTTATGGGCTGTACAAGAACTGATGCTCAGGCGCCGAGGGGCCATTTGTCAATGTTCTAATGGCAGATTACTGTTAATGAATAATATCACCGCTGCCTTTGAATAACAGCTCCCTGCAAAGCGGAAACAGGGCCGCCAGGCCGCCGCCGCCCTTCGCCTCCCCGCTGCCGACCCCGGGTGACAGCAGCTGGCCTTGTGACCAGCAGGAGCCGTACGGACCCCCCGCAGCCCAGCACTGCTGCTGCTGTCCCCAGCAATCACGAAAGGGAGTGCTGGATGTCGTGTCCCCACAGTGGGATGTGCTGCTCCCCATGAGTGGGAATGTCCCCAGCAGGGGACAGCCATCAGGGGCAAGAAGTGACAGTGTCTTCCCAGCATGTGGAGCCAGGCTCTTGCAGCTCCTCACCCTGCCCATACTGGAGCCAGGAGGGAGTTGTGTCTGATCTAAATCTATCCCCACCAGGATGCCAGACGTAGTGGTGACAAGTATGTGTCAGAGCCCAGAGCTCCCAGCTCACAGA